TATGTAAGTGGAATGATGGATCTGGAGTATCTTTTTGCAGAACCTAATTAACTTAATTCGATTAAGTCTTAAATTTAACTATACTTTGATGAATATGTAAAGCAACTTTTTTGTTAATTTATTTTTGAGTTAACATGGCGACCATTATCAGCTGCATGAACACGTCTCTATATATATAATCAGGGGTGTTTCTGTGGGAGTAATATACATAGAGAAACAAGTTGGTACATATATAATTCCATCTTTCGATGGATATATAATTACGACAATTATTAGATACTTTTGGCTCACCATCTATCTAAAAAGAGGCCGCAGCGGTAGCAACTCCGGAGGCATGACGACCATGGCTGTCTTTTGCCGCTGTGGTTTTTGTCTGGTTTTCCTTTTTCTAACTCACCGCGTATGTATGTAAGGTTTGGTCTCGTTTCTCTTAAAGTGAGACAACATTTTTTTCTTCTTATATAAAATACGCTAGCAACGGCCGGTTGTCATTCCAAAAGAAAAATGCAAGTGGCAGTACAAAATTAAAGGTCCATGTGTGAAGTACCCTGTCTATCTATTATGAATTTACGATGCACATGCTGACATATGCATGTACGTACTTAGTTTCGTGTATAATTTCAAGGGCAAATTGCTAAATATGTAGAATCTATTAATGGGACAGATATCATATTCTGGACCATTTTGCTTTGTTAACACAAAGCCCACATTGTCATGATAGTTCATATTGGAACTAATTCGAGCTAACTGGTCAGATCAAGGCCGCTAACTTTCTTTGTCAACAAGTTAATTAGATGATCGATGTTCTCTCAATGATGCGATTTTGTCAAGGACAATCCAGTTTTAAGACACGAAAAATAAAGTGTCAACTAATCAAGGAATGCCCAGTTACCTTTTACGACTTACTCATTTACCATCTACTACACATGCGGTTCCCAGACTATTAAAACGATGTATTTTCTTCAAAAAATATAATTTATTCAAAAATCAAATAAACCATTTCTTAAATTTATAATTGCAAATACTTAATTAATTATATGCTAATGGTATTTTTCGTGTCACATTTGCGAATTAAATTTGAAAACATATTTTTTTCAATAATTTGCATTTATATATCTCGGAGAAATTTTTTTGCAGAAATATACCTTCCCCGCACGTTGGATATGCGGGAACAAGATGGTAACGCGGAGCGGCAGCGCGGGAACGCGGTGGCGCGGATTGGCATTGCGGGACCTACTCGGTCGCGCGGATTGAAAGTGCGGAACCGAGTTGGTCCTACGGCGCGGCTGTGCCAGCAGGTGCGGGACCGAAACGGTCCTGCAGCCCCGACGTGCGGCATCGAGGAGAGGCCGATCACGCAGTTTGGAGGTGCGGGACTGAGACGGTCCCGCAGCCCCATTCTGTGGTACCGTGCCATCCCGCCTCACCGGCTCCCTCCCTCCTTTCCATTTGTGTAACACCGGCTCACTCCTTTCCATTTATGTAACGATATTCCATATTCCCAAATCAAGTGCAAAGATTATTTTCCGTGTCCACCGGCTCCCTCCTTTCTATTCGTGTAACGATTCCCAAATCAAGTGCAACGATGGGGCGGGAAGGCACGGTGCCGCAGAATGGGGCTGCGGGATCGCTTCGGTCACGCGGCCTCTACTCGGTGCCGCACATTGGGGCTGCGGGACCGTTTCGGTCCTGCGCCTGCTGGCCGTCCGATCCCCGTCCAGTCCCGCGGGCAAAGCCTTCCCGCATAGCCGCGCCGCGGGACCGACTCGGTTCTGCGCTTCCAGCCTGCGTGACCGAGTCGGTCCCGCAACGCCAATCCGCGTTACCGCGTTCCCGCGCTACCGCTCCGCGTTACCATCTCGTTCCCACTCATCCAACGCGCGGGGAAGGTATATTTTTGCAAAATTATTGAAAACAAAAATATATTTTCAAATTTAATTCTCACATTTGGTAAAAAGCTAAGCCAGACTAGCTTGGATATATATTAATTAAGCTAGTTTTGTAAATTAAGCAAGCACTACGTACGTATTAAAATATAATATATATTGAAAGTCAAAACGTATTATAATATATATGTAATGGAGGGAGTAATTCTCCATTTCATATATATTATAATATGTTTTGACTTTTTTCTAATCAAATTAACTTCTTTAACTTTAACTAAGGTTATTGAAAAATTAAGCAACAACTACAACACAAAATTAGTTTTATTAAATGTAACATTATATTGAATAAATTTGGACAGAATATTTATTTTGTGTTAAAAATTTTGCTATGTTCTCTATAAGCTGATCAAACTAAAAAAAATGACTTAAAAAATTTAAAGCGTCTTATTATAATTTGAGAGAGAGGAGTAACATAGTAGCTATATAGTTATATATGGCTCTGTCGTAAAAGAATGAATTTGAGCATAACACTAACTTTCACTGTTTCACATATATAGGAGTATATAGACTTGGATGCAGGTTTATGACAAATGTCCTTGCTAAAGTGTCGTCATCTTAGGTGTATGCATGCATGTGTGCCCACACATGTAAAGTTGCCAACAATATATATGTACAGTACATTGGTTGACATCACATACATCTCAGCCCACAATATATATATGTATATATATATATATATATATATATATATATATGACAGCTCTAGTATACACCTCCCCCTTAGAATAACTATTTTACACCCCTCCTCCATCTTACTTAACCGAACCCCACCTCCCTACCCCATCCCCCGCGCGCGGCCCCCCTCCCTCTTGCGCACCCTCCTCCGGGCGCCGCTTTTTTCTCTCCCTCCTCCCGATCTCTCTCTCCTATCCCGCCACCTCCGTTTTTCTCTCCCTCCTCCCTCCACCCCTTCCCACTCTCTCCTCTCCTCCCAGTCCATCTCCCCTCCGTTTTTCTCTCCCTCCTCCCTCCACCCCTTCCCACTCTCTCCTCTCCTCCCAATCCATCTCCCATCCTGGCGCCCCCTCTTTTTTTTCTTTTTTTTTCCATTTGCTTCATCCGGAAAAAGAAAATTAAAAATTAAAATGTCAAACCAAGATTTGAACCCAAGATCTCATGTTTCATAGCAAACTCTCCTAACCAATTTTACTTATGACACTATGTGAGTACACATCATTGTTTGTTTGCTTTGTATGTATGTCCAAATTTTGTGAGAACAAATTAGTTATGTTACTATAGAAATCATACCTCGTTACTATGATTCGGCAGTAACATTATAAAAAAAGCACAGTAAAATGATATGTTAATACAAAACTTATAACTTGTTACTGCAAAACTTAAAACTTGTTACTGCACTTTTTGTAGCAACACCATATTAAAAATTACAGTAACATTGACATGTAACAGTAACAACGGTGCTATAGTAATAATGCTTGTGTATATCTAAAAACTTTTATATCTCAATCTGTAGGGAGCAATATCTCTCACATCATATCTAGTTTTTCTAATTCGTTTGCACCATAACATTCGTAAAAAAGTACTTAACAAAACTAGATCTATCATGACTATTTTGTAACGTCGTTACTGCGAAAGTACTCGTGTTACTACATATTGACTGTCGCGCTACTACGTCGTTCCAGTGAGACGAGAACTAAAAAGAGGTAAATCTCAATCTTTAGACAGCAATATCTCTCACACCATATCTTGTTTTTCTAATCCGTTTGCAGTATGACGTTCATAAAAAAACGCTTAATGAAACTAGATCCATCATGACTATTTTTTAACGTTGTTACTGCGAGAAAGTTGTTTTGTTACTGCACGATGATCGTTCTGTTATTGCGCGGTTTCTGCGAGACGAGGATAGCAAAGTGGTGGGCGGGGGAGGGAGTCAATGGGCGGGTTTGACCGGCGGGAGGACGCTTTGACCGAGGTGGGAGAGGGGTTTTGGGCCCTAGAGAAGGTAAGGGAGGTGGGTTTGACCCATAGGAGAGGGGGGTAGAATAGTTATTCTAGGGGAGGGGTGTAGAATAGATTTACTATATACACACACATGTGCATGATGCCTCTGATTATTCGTATCAGGAACATGCATCATGTGAATACGAAAGCAACAAATTCCGATGGTAGTTTGCTTTCAAGTTTCAACGACACCTTTTAGAATCAATATTTGGAAGTATGGGCGATAAGAATGGAAGAAAATTGGGGGGGGGGGGGGTTGGAATCACTTGAGAGGGACACCAATATTGTCGCCATTTTGGAGATACAGACAGGGGAAAGCAATGTATATGAATTGGAGTTGTTTCGTCTTTTTCTAACTTGTAAGCATGCACATGTGGTTGGAAAAAACGAGGACAAAAGTTAGTTTAACTAAAACACAAGCAATCGATCGTCAATTGAAGCCGGCTTAATTGGCTTGTTTGTCTTCATCTTTGAGTGAAACCAGCAATATGTTTGGTGGAATTAATTGAAGGTATGGTCAGGCAATATAATGTACGTAAGCAACCACACATGATAAGCACGTACCGGTCCCATGAATTAGATAAAATATATGTTAAGTTGTAGTTAACAGTTAGAACAAACTAATCAACCAAATAATTCTCAAAACCATACTAATTCAAACAGCCAAATTAATACTCTCGGTGCTTACGCACACGACAGTTTACCGATTACTAGATAGCAACTGCACCATACACCCAACCACCTATCGAGATCAATCTACATACCATCGGCACTTATGGAGACTTGGTGTCCAATTTTACATATCCTCCTTAATTTATATTATCATTCTAATTTAGTTGACATGATGGATATTATTTTTTTGGAGAAAGTATGAATTACCCTACGAACTATCGTGATCGACTGAATATGCCCCCCCCCCCCCCCGCGCGCGCGCGTAAAGCTCGAGAACGAGATATTTTACAACCCCAACTATACAAACTGAACGGATGACCCCCCCTAGGCAGAGTTGGGAGCGGTTTTGACTAGGAGATGTACACGTGGCCATCCAGCATGGTAAAATTCTCTCTCTCCCCCTGAATTTTTTGTTCCCTCCCTCTCTCTCCTCAAAAATTTCCTCTTTCTTCCCAAATCCCTAGCACAGCAGCGACCACGGCGAGGACGTGCGGTGCAGTCCACGATGGTGAGTGGCGGCGAGGGCGCTTGGCGTGGTCCACAGCAGCGATTGCGGTGATGGTGCGCTATGTGCTGCGGCGACCTCTATTGAAGCCGAGCACGAAGAGGATGTTGCTGATGGTGTCATCCTTGCTAATGTCAAGCTCGTGTGGAGGCAGCGACAAGCCCGCCGCCGTCTCGAGCTTAGTGAGGGAGTTGGAGGCGGTGTCCAGCGGCGGAGCTGAACGTCGTTTGGGGAGGTCAGCGGAAGCGGAGCTTGCGCGGAGGCAACTGGAGTGGCAACAGAGATGGAGCTCGCGGGAAGGAGGCGACAAGCCCGCCGCTATCTCGAACTCCCTCCATGACTCGACCTCGCCCTTCACCCTGACCGCCGCCGTTGCCCCTTCCGTCCTCCCCGAGACAGGCGGTCATCGCGTGTCTCATCCCCAAGCTCCGCCGCTTCTCCCAGTCCTCCTTGAACTCGGCGGCCTCCGGGCACCGGTATCATCTTTGGCTTCGCTTAGCACACGGCTCCTCAGTGGTGGTTTGGAGGAGCTCGGAGCCATCAATCCAAACGACGGCAATGTGGTCCTACTGGTCGGCGGCGCAGGAGGCGGAGAAGGTGAGCACAGCGTGGAACCATGGTGCCGTCCCACCTCGCCTTGCTGGCCATGGCGGATAGGGAGAGAGGTGAGAGAGAGAGAGAGAGATATGACAAGTGGGCTCCATCGAATTTTTCTAATAAGAACTGGGATTAAAGATTGTTTTTAGTCCCGGTTAAAAAAATTTTAATCATCTTTAGTCCCGGTTTGTAGTACTAACCGGGAGTAAAGATTATTTAGATCTTTAATCCCGGTTGGTATTACCAACCGGGACTAAAATTCAACTCGTCGTATATAATCCCTAGGACTTATCCTCTGGAATGCAAACTCCTCCTCCTCATCCCCTTTCCTCCTCTCTCTTATCCTCTCCTTATCTTTTTTTCTCGTTGCTTTCTTATACTCTCATTTTTTTCTCGCAGCGAACGGCGGCGGTTTGCGGGCAACAGCCTACGTGCGGCGGCCCGCGTGGGAGCGAGCGCCAACGGCCGGCGTGGGAGCGGGTGCCGGCGGCGGCCCCGCAGAGCGGGCAGCGGGGACGGCCCCACGCGGTCCGCGGCGGCGGTGGCTGGCACAAGAGCGAGCGGCGGCCCCGCGTGTGGGAATGGGGTAGCGAGCAGCGCCAGCTGGAGCGGGCGGGGGGCGGCAGCTTGGCTGGCGCGGGAGCGACTGCGACAGTGCAGCGGTGGATTTTGTTGATTTATTATCTGTGAACGTAAGGATTTTGTTGATTTGTGATGTCTTTGGATTTGTATATTTGTGATGTGAACTGTGAATGTGGATGTGAATTCTGTGTATATTTAGATGTTTCTATAAAGTTGCAAATGAATCTGTGATGTCAATTTGTGAATAATTTTGTCTGTGTGGATGATTTTGTTCTTGAGTTCGGTGCGAAATCAATATGAAAGTAGCAAAAAACAATTAAAAAAGAAAAGAGAAAGAGAAAGCGCCACGTGGTGCTTATATTTTTTACTCCCGGTTGGTGACTCCAACTGGGATTAAAGATCCATCTTTATTTCCGGGTATTTCAACCGGGACTAAAGATGGCGATCTTTAGTCCTGAATTTTTCTTACCGGTTTGCAACCCGGGACTAAAAAGGGTTGTGAACCGGGAGAGATGTGGGGTTGTCCAGTAGTATCGGCTAGCCCACCACCTTGTGGAGCTAGCTAGAAAACACATGGACGTTAAGTTTCTCTCTACGAGGATTATTAATTAATGTGCTTACTTCAACCTAAGAGTAGCTAGTGGGATTCACACAAATCTCACCCATTAATTCAGTCCCCAATCCCGCAAAAAAGTTGAATCATCATCGACCATGCATATGCATATTGTTCCAGCTTAGCTACCTGGACTTATGGTTACTTTCTCTTTAGACCAAACCATCGACAGGACCGTACGTCCACACACGTGATATTCTTTCGTAGATGTTGATACAAGGTTTGTGCCAGACAAGCAACGAAAAAGGTGCCAATGTGATCACTTTGATGTCATCAAGAGTGGTCACAGATCAATCGATTTGTCGATCATCTGCAGTAGATCAAATGGATGTGTGTGTGGCCAGCTGCCTGGAATTGATGGTGGGTTGATGGGGGACCTGCACACCCCTGTTAATTCTAATGGCTGACTAATTATTGAATTGAATTAACGTCTATAAAATTAACTGACCATCAACTTAACCAGCTGGACACCAGTTAGTGAGATGGTTTAGTATATGTAGAGTGGGAAATGATGTTGAGTAGAAGTGTCGACCAAGTTTGCTTTATTTGTTACTGTTTGTTTTTTTTTTTTGGCTAGACAGAGTTGTCTCTATATCTAGAGGCAGCTAGCTAGAAGGTCAACACATTATGTAGTTGAATATGTAGGTCTCCAATCCTTTTTCTTGGGTTATTTATTATAATTCTATGCCCTTCGAGAAGCACACCGAAATGGACTTCAACTTTCTCAAAAGAATTATTGTCACATCAAAGAGGATGTATAACCTACAGTTAACTAATCATAACATTGTTTTCGGTGAAATCATCATTATAAGATAGTAGTACTAGTTATGGGAAACAGTTATCAAACATCTGTAAAATAAGCACGGCCGGTTTTCTGGAAACTGGATCAGCGTATATGTTTCTTCCTGTGTTGTGTGTGAGAGAGAGAGAGGAGTTAAAGTAATTGTGGTTGCCTTAGCTATGTAGAATAGTTAATTTTGGTCGGCACTGCTTTATCGAAATTGTTTGTTTTCAAATAATTAATTAATGTGGTTATTTAGAACTATTTTAATATTGAATATTATAGAGTATCACTCTAAATTTTGAATTGCACTTTGTTGAAATTTCAATTCTAAAAGTCTTTATACGCACAGTGGCTAAGCCAACCGCCGGGCCGATGTCCCGATATAATGCACCAGCCTGTTGGTGGTCTAGTTTGGGTTGTGTGCATGTTGTATAGGGTAATAGATCAAAGTGTTCGTTTGGTGGGAATAGACCCACATGAAAATTTTAGATAAGTTTTGACTAGTTTGTATGCTCACTTCACTCTAATTGTAACACCTTTAGATCAATTAACCGTTTTACACAAAGCAAGAACATACGAAACTATACGCGGGGTGCTATGTTAACATTAGCCGGATAGCCCCCATCAACATGTAAAGTAGACTAATATGGATTTAGAGGCTGGAATGTTACACCCGAGCTCATCGACAAATATATTAGAATTTTGATATTGTTATAAAAATTAACGGTGGAAATTTTTATAATGTAGTTAGACTTGTCTATACTCTAGAATTTTTTTTAGCTCTGTCACTGTCTATGAGCCCTATTGAGTATGCAACTGAACCTAAACATGTTTTTTTGTTTTGAAGGAGATGCATGCATGGTGGTGGGGAAAAAGGTGGTTTAGTGCTGATCTACTCCAATTACTCATGCAATAAGCACTCAACTAATCAGTACTAACATATGACCAATTATTAAGGCCGGCAACAAGCAGCATTTCCATGTGCTATACTACCTCTTTCCATGGATAACAACCAGACTTGGTCCAAACTTAATGGGCACATAGGGAGAGTCTCAGTCGTAATCATCACCAACTGCCAAACCATATATGGGTACGCTTGTCCATTGTACACACACATGCTTGTCCATGTCATGTACGTACACATTTGTAATTTAATTAGGTCGCACAGAAGGTCAGATGCTTAATTTTGACAGTAACAGGACGCAGCAGCAGGCACAGGCAGGCATCCAGATTTAATTAATTAAAGAATTAATTAATCAAACATCATGAACAAGAGAAAGAAAGGGACATTTGCAAGAGGTGGTCACACCACACAGAATATTTCGTGTCGGAGAATGGTTAATTCATCAATGGATTCACACGTCTCACAGAAAAGGCAGATACAGCCTCATATATATCAAAGCATGCATCAAACACGAAACGCCAAAAAGGATGGAAAAGAAGAAAGACAAAGGCATTCAGCTGGATAAAGATGTGTAGGAAAAAAGGGGGAAAAAGATAATCAAAGAATGGCCGGTGCCAGATTAACATTCAGCAATGCACCTAAGCATCCAATTATCCCAATGTCATAGATATCTTTGGAAAATGAGATGACAAGAAAGAAAAAGGCAGTGATGGATCTACATATCTGTATCGTGTAGATATATGACTTTTATGTGTGTTGATTGATGGATTGCATTATTCAGCTTTATGATTCACTCTGTACTAACAAGGCTGAAGAAAGTCGTGTAGTTGGGGTGAAAGGAACACATGGAAACTATCAAAGGGAAAGAACAAACTAAAGGAAGAGAGAAGCTTTGCATATTGCTCTATGCATATGCATATGGCTACATCTGCCTTCTTTAGGACTTTAGAGCCTTTTGATATCTGCGGCATTTTTTTTAATGTTTTGTCTAGTTGGTCAGGTTAGAATAATTGAGTTTGATCCTTCGCATGATCTAGATGTGCAAGTGAATTGGATTGTACCCACAATGGACTTTTTGCCACCAAGCTAGCTTAGAGGGTGGATAAGCACTAGCAAATGCAGTACTTCAAGTTTTAAAAGATCGATTATACACTGCAACATAAACGATTTTTTCATTGTATAAAAAATGATTTTTTAGACGGATGAGTGGCCCGCCTGCACCTAGGTGTCTGCGAAAATCAGTATTTCTGCATGCGGTTCGAGCAACTGTTTGACAAAATTGTATTTTTGCTGTGGGCGCTTAAGCGATCAGACAGCAAAAAGAAAATAGGCAAAAGAAAAGAATTCTGAAAAAAAAATCCAAAACCCTAGCAGCTCCCATGCCCTGCGGCCGTTGCCACCATCGGAAGAAGTGGTCGTTGGCAGCTCCTGCCCACCTGTCGTGCTCCCGTCCGCCGCCGGATCCCTCCAGCGCCGGCCACTCAGGCTCGCCCGTTGCTGACGGATAGGAGAGTAGGAGGAGACGAGAGGTGGAGAGGAAGTGGAGAAGGTGAAGTGGAGAGCGGAGAGGATGAGGATGAGGAGAAAGAGGTGACCTGATAATTTAAGGGTGAGCTCGATTTGGTGGGATGGTGAGAGACCCGTATGTGAAAATTGATTTTTTGCATGTAGTCCTTGAACCACGCTTTTTGTATGGGGAGCGATTTTTTGAATGCGGGAATAGTTATGGTCTGCGTGTAACCTAAAGGCTGTTTCGTTCGGAAAAATCAATTTCATAGTAGTGATTTGCTTACTTCCTCCGTTTCAGTTTACTTATCATTTTAGCATTCAATTTTTCTTAAATAATTTCTACATTTAAATCACTTTTAAAGATATTTTTCCCTTCCTACCCTTCGTAAAATGCAACTATATCAGTACTATTACTCTTTCAAGAAATTTTAATGCTTGCTTGGGTAAGATGATTAGTATGTCATCATTAATGAGGGTAGCAAATTAATTTGTCACGCTTTCTAGTTTAATATAAGATTTCTAGAACAAGTAAATCGAACCAGAAGAAGTATTGAAAATGGAGAGTAGGCGGGCCGTATATGTTAACCATATATACTAGCCAAATACTCAGGAATTGTAACTATGCCTAATAAGCAGTATGTCATAAATTCCAAATTGTAAAAAAATATATCTAATTTTCAGTTAAATATTCTCAGAATAATTTTATTACGAACCATACATTTGAAAAAGACACAATTATCTAGGGAAGATTCTTCAACTAATAAAGACATGCAAGTGTGTCTATACATATATACAAAAGAGCTAATGGTGGTGGTGGCCGGTTACTCATCACCACCACAAGATTCTTTCACAACAGTCACAAATATGGGTCGTTATTAGAGAACTTTCAATTCAAACAATTACTAAGACAGAGACCAGAACCAAACCAATCTAGCTACAAACCGTCCATCCACGCACGCAAGCATGTGACCACATGTATTCTCCCATGAGGCCGGCAACAAATGAACATCTATATGAGATGGACTATATGGAGACAGCTCTCTTTTTCAAAGTAAGATTGATGGCAAGTTGAAGGAGAGATCGAGGTTGACACCAATGCTGCACAGTGACTACCACACATGCACTAACTCTGCCTTGTTAGCTAGGGAATTGAAGCTTAGCTTTTCGCCTGAAAGCAATATATGGCCGGCAAGCTAGCTAGCAGCCTAGCAACTCCATCGACCCGCCTCAAAATATAGTTACCTAGTTTTGTGAATCTAGATATAGGCATGTTAAGATTCATAATGCCAGATTGCTATATTTTTAAACGCTATCTCTAAATTAATTGTACTAGCTAGATAGCTATATTTTAGACGAATAAAGTAGCTTCCATAAATCTAAAAAATAGATGGTAATCCTTTAATGTACTGCACATATAATATAATAGGTGTCAGTGACATGTGTAGTACGGTAGAGGATTTGTGTCCCACAAGAATTGCTCCATGTCGCCATGGATGGACCCAACCTCTCATTGATCTCTCTTTAGATCTCTTTGTCCTTTTCTCTTCTCTCTCTCTCAAGGGCACTACTACTATATATTGTTCTTGGTCATTGTACACTGTTGCTCTTGGTCATTGTACTGGTAGAGAGTACTGGGGCTGGATAGTGGCATGCAGGGACCAGTACGTTGATCAACAGTGCTTCAACCATGGACGGCGACCTGCAGCAGGCGA